TTTGATAATGTACTAAAATTTGTCCGAAAAAACCAAGTCAGGTCATGAGATAGTAGAAAAAAAGTACCACAAAATTCGCGTTGTAACGGACTTGCGAATATAAATTCTCCGACAATCTCAAAAAAAAATAGCAGCTGAGTCGGTCCTAACTGCTCGTTAAATAGCAGAAAACAGATTTACGTTCCACCTCGACCCCCATTTCCTCACGCACCTACTGACGTTTATTCTTGTACCGTGTGCTTAAAAATGAAATATTTTTACGTAAAGCGTGACATGACATTTGTACGAGGTGTGGGAAATAAATTACATGAACGAAATTTTTCGTTTCGGAGTCAAAATTTCCAATTTTTACAACACTTAATTAAGTACCCGATGTAAAGCAATTAATAAAACGCCCCGTTTGTGGTTCTAGCGCCGCCCAATAAATCTTCCCTTCAGCAACCGCGAGGAAATTGATTACCCCGCCGAGCTATAAAATCTGTAACATTTTGTTTAAATTAACGTGCATCAACCCTAGATATCAAGCGTCGGTTTATTTTTATACAAGATGTGAGCTTCCACGCACATGAGACATTTCTGATTTACGGTGCTTAGAACAATTACATAGTTCCACTAGAAAAATCTGCTTTTAATGGGCAAAAAGCGAGCAATGATATCCGGCTTTTTGACACACCATTTTTCACGATCTCTTTCGAGTTTATAAGACGTCGCGACGAATTAGCCGCTGTGTCAAAACATGACTAGGTAACATTTCTTACGGTTATTTTTAGGCCATGTTCCGACACTCCGAGCTAATGATAAATATTGATCCATTAATATGATTCACTGAAATGACGGAAGTTTGAGACTAAACACGGAGAAAAATCCGAGATTTGGGGAGTGGGTGAGTATGTTTATTTTCGGATTTGTGCTGCTATTAAAGTGGAAACATACAGAGGCGGACTTTGGACCAAAAACCGCCAATTTAGATATTTTCTAATTTTTTAAAAAACCTTTACATTTAGTATCTGTTGCAAATTGCTGTGAATATATCTGTGTTGGTAACTGATAATGTCTATTCCAAATCGATATTCATATCTATGCTGTCAAAAATCGAAGATTTCAGAGATTTTAGCAATTATATAATTTTACTGAATCACTTCTGATGTTGCAATCTTAATTCACGAAACACTTCCATCCATTAATTTTAAAAAATTAAACTTTTGAGTAATAAAACAGTGTTAAGGCCAAAAATCGACCAAGATCTCAAAAAAAATCTTCATCTTTAAAATTGATCCCGGCCGATAACATCTAAACTTACTTTTTTTTTTTAAAACTAAATTTTCAAATAATGCTTATTCATTCCTCGTTTTCTTAGTAAATGCATCAATTTTTTTTGGCACATCCTATGTAGCCGGTAATGCTACCAAATTTAGTTTTTCAAATGGAACACCTTTGTTTTTTGCTCGAAACAATAATAATTGGCATGAAAAATACGGTAAACCACTACTTATTTATTACATTTTACTTTACATAATGCACTCAGAAAACAATTTAAATTTTTGAATCTTATTGCAAATTTTGCGGATTTTACTTATCAAGGTATTTATGCAAAAAGCAATATGCTTGGATACCGTTTAATTGTTAGTTTGACAAAGCCTAATTTGTCAATAAATCTTATTAATGGATGATATTAATTACGACGAATTGGTAGATCAGATTGAAGTGTTTTTTAAGTGCAACAAAAATAGAGCGGAAGCTGAAAGACAGTATAGAGAAAAATACTCAAATTCACCCAAATCGTTGAAAATTTAGTCGAATTGAAAAACAACTGAGACGAATAGGTTCGCTTTTTAAAACTAAAAAACCTGTGGTTTTTTGTGAAGAACAAGAAAATAGAAATCTGAATGTTCTGTTATCAGTCGAAGAAAATCCAAGAGTTTCCATACGAGAACTCGCTCATTAGATTTGTCAAACCAACAATTAAATTGTCTCCAAGTATTTTTTTTATTCACACCTTTCCTTTAAAATTACACGACCAATTTCCTTATAAAATTCTAAGATTTAAGATGTTTTTTGATTGCATTGTGTTACGCAAAATGTAATAAATAGTGGTCTACAGTACTTTTCATGTCATTTATTATTGTTTGCAGGAAAAAAAAACATAACTATTTATCGTAGAGCGCTGATCATTTTTACTTATAATAGAAAATTAAATTTTCTTTCCAACGATACCAAATATAAGAGGTTATCTCCAATAACTCCGGAGTTATTGCCAATAGACCGCTCCGGGTGCCAAAAATCGACCAAAATCTCGGCAAAAATCCAAAAATTTTCTACTTTAAAATTGATCTATTTAACGTTTTTTACATTTCTAGAAGTGCTAAAGACTCAAAAAAGTGCATAAAACGTTATTGGGTCAAGTTTCAAAAATTTTGAATTTTTTGAGTTTTTGAAGGTGAGCGGTAGTAAAATCGTAAAAATAGTCAATTTACCTTAAGTCGTAAAAACGGTTGAAATATMGTTTTCTAGACGTAAAATTACTCGCTGAACACGATTCAACTAGTTAGAATACTCTACGATGCATAGTTTTTGAGATATTGAGTAARAAAGTTAAGAATAAGGCTAAAYMTAWAAGCACTATATCCGATTTTGACCAAAAATCAAKWTTTTTTTATTCTTATGAAAAACTAGTACTARATGTAAAATTAACCGGAGAACACGCCTGTACAAACTGCTTTGACCTAGGACTCATAGTTTTTGAGATATGAATTTTTTTTGAATAAAACTAAAAATGGCTCTGTACCCGGAACCATAACCCGGAACGACTTCGGTTTGCGCCAATAAATAGATAATTTCAAGCTACTTTTAATGGTTTTTACCGTTTTGCTTTATATCTTATAGTTTCGTAGAAAAACGCGTTTAAAATTTCACAATTTTGACTTTTTGAACGGCGACTTCGGCCAAACTATTAGACTTAGAAAAGTCAGTCCAACTCCATCGTAATCAGCGTAAGAAAATCTATCGACTAAGGCCAAAGCCAAGTCGATATCTCGCAAAAAAAAATTGAATTTTTAAACGCCGATTACGGCGAAACTAAAGGAGATAGCCCAATGTGGTTGGTAAATTCGTAATTAGCGCGTCAAAATCTATCGGATAAGATAGGTTTAAATTGAATCTGATACATATTCAAAAACACTAGTTTTTAAGTTTTTAACAATTTTTTTCGTTTTTTTTTATTTTGCAAATTGCTGCAAAACTGTACCTCAATGATGTAATGTTTTGACCTAAACCTATGTAAAATGTTCCGGGGAATCGATTGGCGTCAAGAAAACTGCAAAATTCGTAGTAGTTTTGAAGTTATAGTCGGATTTAAATTTTCGATATTTTTGACTTTATCAGAAATTTTCTCGATAACTATTCATCGTAGAGCACTGAACTTTTTAATATATCATAGAAAATTCAATTTTCTATCCAACAGTACCAAATATCTCCAAAAAGTCCGGAGTTATTGCCATTAGACCGCTCCGGGTGCCAAAAATCGACCAAAATTTCGACAAAAACCAAAAAAATTTTAACTTTAAAATTGATTCATTTAACGTTTTTTACATTTCTAGAAGTGCTAAAGACTCAAAAAAGTGCATAAAACGTTATTGGGTCTAGTTTATCTAACAGGGTAGTCAGTGTTTCAACAAAGATACTCATATCTCCAAAGGGTGAGCGATAAAGATTAACAATTTTAAATTATACGGTAAAACAGATATCCCTGACAACTCACTGAGGTTTGAAATGTGCTACATTTCAGGTTTATCCAACTTACGCGTTGGCAAAAAGACCGACCTCCTCCTCGAGACCCGCGACCACAGCGACACCAAACTGGAGCGCGGCGGCGAGCAAGTCTCCGCCGAAATCCGGTACCGCGACGCCGGAGTCTCCCGCTTCCTCCACGTCGACATCGACGACCGCCGCGACGGCACCTACACCATCTCCTTCGTGCCCGACGTGGCCGGCAAACTCGTCCTCAGCATCAGCATCAAAGGCCAACCGATCAAAGTAACAGTACACAAACACTGATAACGGACCCAAATTTTACAAATTTGCAGGACAGCCCCTTTCCCATCACCGTTCGGACGCTGAAACCGCACCACGGAACCTTCCACTGCTGCAGCTTCTGCTCGAGCGGGGGCAGCAAGGAGGCCACGTGTGGGTGCGAAGGCCGGATGCCGGGGGGCTACAAGGGCTGCGGACACGGACACGAGGGGCATCCCGGCCGGAGACACTGGTCCTGCTGTGGGAACGTCCTCGAGCATTCGGAGTGCTCCAAGGGGAACCACTCGCACTACCAGTTCACCTTGTAGGGGGCGCCAGGGTTGATCATTCCGCAAAAGTGATCGTTTTTAATTATGTATAGTAAAACGGTTTTCCTAAGACCCACTAAAAATTTTATGACACATTATAAGGGATTAACCAAACAATGGCTTGAATTTGTAACCCTCCATAAATGGCACGTTCCTTTGCAAGAATAAAACAGGGCCGTATTTAAAACTAAAGTAGTAGTAGAGTTTTACAAAGCTATTATTAAAAAAATCAGGTTTATTTAATAATTGCTTAATAACCACCTGGCTTTTTAAATTTTTTAAAATACTTGACTTTAATAACAACTAGATCAAAAACTATTAAAACATTTCAAGTATTTTAGATAAAAAAAAAGTAAGTAATCCGGCCCTGTTAAAAATTGACCTGTTTTAGGGTCCGGGTGGGTTCCACTAATTTATGATTTGTTTGCCCTCTAGTTAAAAAAAAAGTAATAAAATTTTTAGTAGGTCTTATGAAAACGATTTTACTATAGTTGTATGTATTATTTTGTGTAATAAAACACTACTTGTTGGAAAATGTATATATTAAATAATTTCTTACACAATTGCACATTTATAAAAAATAAATTGTCTACACAAATAAATATACTTAATTAAATATCAATTAAAAACTGTCGCGTGAACTATTCCCTATACTTTCTTTGCGTTTACTAATTCTCAAACACTTGTTACATGGTTTATCATTAAAGTTCCAACAACTAATATGATAACAGGCCCCACATTTGTTGCATCTACTGACTTTACGCATCTGCCATGGAAAAATGACTTCTGGGGCATTACAAACTTCACAGATAAAGCCTCTCGCTACACACAACTGAAACAAAAATTTAAGTTGAAGTTTTGTGAAATAAGTTTCCACTTACTTTACACTCGGAAATGTGTCTACAACATAATTCGACTAAATATTTCAGCCTAAGTTTCATATCACCGTTTCTAACATTGACTAGATCTTCCATGGAATAAACTTCAGGATCGGTTAAAAGATACGATTTTTCTGATTCTAATCTCTCCCGAATTCTAAACAAACAATCATTATTTCGGCCAAACACCAGACAAACACTTACGATTCTGCAAACCTACAAGCAAAAATAAAGTCTTTCAGATAGAATAAACCTAAACGGAATCTTCGACACAACTGAAGATTCTTCGACATCTTCCAGATGTGTTTGTTCAGTTCGAAAACTCGGAATAACGGATCGGAGTACATTTGTTCTAAAAGCCGATAAGAGAATGACGAAACTTGATATCTGAAAATTTCGGGATGAGGGAGAGTATTTATTTTTGGAGTGTGGATTACCTCGTAAAATCCCACTTTTGTATAACTCGCCCCGGGATTAACGCCAATTGATTGGTGTGACACCCTGTGCAAAAATAGCGACCCAAATAGTCGCAATAGCGGTACCTGGAGGCGTACTGGGGGGCCACTCTCATGCTACATCCGGCGCATCGATAGTTCTGCTTCGCGATCAAAGATTTTCTCCTGCGAAATTATTTTGGAAAAACAAAAATATTTCAATCTCGATTTCAATGCTCATTTTTAGCACGGAAGCATCGCTTATCTGATTAATTGATTATAACATCCTAACATCGGATGTCTCAATCTGACAGTCCAGTTCCTATTAATTAGTGAGCATTTCTAACTGTATTTTTGCCGTTTAGTAACACAAAATTTTTACCGAATAAACATTTTTCTTCTTAATTTAAAGTCGTCGGAAAAGTTGGAAAAAAACTTGGAAAATTATTTTTCCAGCAGAAATAAATAGTCAAAGTGCAATATTTAAACACAAGATTTTAAAGCTTTAATTTCAACAAATGGATGAATCTAAGTAGAAATATCTGTCTGGCTGCTACTTAATTTTTTATAGTGTTATGATTATGAATTAAGTGTTCATGACCAAAAAATTTTGTTGTTTTCGTCCGCAAAAACGTTTTAGGTAAGTGTTACGAACAATATTTTTTTTTGGTAAAGCTCCTAGAAAACAAATTCACACCTCGTATTAATTTTAAAAAAATCGCCACCGTAATAACCAAATCGACTTATTCGTCCCGAAAAACTCTAGGGACCTACTTTGCGTACTATTTTAACGAGTCCGAAAAAGACTCATTTTAAGAACTCAAATGAAATCTGCTATATTTTGCGCAAGTCGGAGTTTTTTTGTTCTTTTATTGACTAATTAGAGAAGATCTTGAAAGAATCAGAGGAAATCATGGGAAATTAAAGGAAATCAAAGAAATCAGAGAAAATTACGAGAAAATTAAGAAAAATCATTAAAAAATGTGCATAAATACGAAAGTAGATTTTTTTTGTTCATCTTTTTACAAAATAGAGGAAATCAGGAGGAATATAATGGAATCAGAAGAAATCATTGGAAAATGGGAAAAATCATGAGCAAATTAGGGGAAATCATGAAGAAATCAAGGAAAATCACTGAAAAATCTATAAGTGCAAATAGGTTTTTATTCGGGGTAAACTTTAGAAATTAAGGAGAAATCATAAAAAAACTTATGAAGAAATCAAAGGAAATCATTGGAAGATCTGTAGAAAGTATGGGGAAATCAAGGAAATCATGAGGCAATTAGGAAAATCAGGAGAACTCATTCAAAAATGCGCCTGCAGATTTTTTTTGTTCATTTGTTGGAAAATTAGAAGAAATTTGAGGAAATCAGAGCAAATCTTAAGGAAATAAGAAGAAATCAGGAAAAATAGAGTAAAATCATTAAGAAATTTAGAGATAATTTTTTTTAATTTTGTAGAAAATGTCTCTACAACACCTTATGGTTTCTGTGATTGAGAATTAACAACATATGCATACCTTTATAATGTATTAATTACTATAATAATAACAAAAATAAATAATAAGTGTTATTAAAAAAAATTAAAGTGTTATTATTGCTGTTCGAAGACATCACATCATCGTCTCGTTTCTTCATTAGCCAAAAAAGTTAATGTTAAAATGCCATGGAAGGTCATATCGGTATCTATAAGAGACGTACTCCCATTTTTGACATAAAGTCGAGGTCGTATGCGTAATTTTTGTTTCGTAGCCCATCCTGAATTTGTTTAAGCTATTTTTTTAAAGATTTTAAGGCCAGAATATTTTTTTGTTGTGCTCCCATTATAGGTTTCGTATTATTTTTGTTAATTTTACTTGACCTTTATCTTTAATTTATTTAACCCCCAGCAAATGTGTTAAGTAAAAATCATCTGAGAAATTAACATTAAACATTTTTTTTTTCTTGTAACTTATTTAATTTTTATTATTATATTATCTTTTATACTCATTTGTCTCATACCAATTCTCACATATTTCAAACAAGTTTGTTTAGAACTAAAAAGCAGATATATTAAGTGGCGGAAGGACTATTTTTTCATTTTTTTCTTAATTTTTCAAAATGTTTCAAAATAATACACATGACCAATTGTACGAAAATTGATTTCTTGTACTTAAATTTCAAACAAGCAAACTTTCATGATAACAGCCTTGCAGCGACAAAAATTTCAGGAATTTAGTAGTCTTAATCTACGACTATTTATTTTACTAGTAATAAGTACGAAGGTATTATATTGCAGCAGTTGTATTTGTTCATTGCTTAAAGTTAAATAATGTTGGAACAAATAGGGACATGACGTATTAGAACAGTAAAAATAAAGCAAAAAGTAAAAATGATAAAACCAAAATCGCTGCAATAAATTTAATTTAATAATTATATCAATTGTCAATGAAATTTCCTTTTAAGAAATGCCCAAAATAGATTAAGAAGTGTACTAAATATACTTTCAAATAAATTTCCGATCGAAGTGTTCTATGACATTGAAATTAAGTTGGCAACATAAACTGTCAAATTCAAACGTCAAACTTGTTTATTAAATAACAATTTTCCAATTACTTACGTGGGTGGTGGATGAATGGTGAAGATAATCTGCGGCCTGGGGGGTGCCCATTCTTGCGTCCCTCTCAGGAGCGTGGAAGCCGTCACGTCGGGATCGTCTGGACTCACCGGCCAGCTCTTCGGTAGAGGTAACAACGCTTGAGGGGCATCTTCCTCCGACACCAACCACTCTAAATCGGAGGCTCTCGGTAACTGCTTCTCGTTGAACTTGCTTATAAGCGACAAGGCAACCCCCTCTGCTGAGAAAACATCAGAGGCACCATCGGGTGCCCCACGTGGCCGTTTCAGCACATCGGCTTCCGAATACAACGACGCCATCGACGCTGAAAGACCATGATTTTCCGAGAGATTCGAAGCTTCGTCTATGTCCAAATCCTCGACTTCGTCGGAACTGGCGCTTTCGGAAAGAGTGTCGGGGGTTGTGGAGCATGGACTCACAGTGGTCGCGGCTTAAAGAGGAATATTTCAAATCAGTTTCGTAAAAATTGAAAATTCTTACTATCGGTTCTTCCGTCGCTTAGTAAAGACTCAGACCAGACTTTTCTTTGCTTTTCCACCATTTTTTCGCGTCTTCGTAGACGAATTCGTTGTTTCAAATCCATGATTTCCGGGTCACTATCGTCAAATTGATCGTCTAGTTTGAAATCTCGTCGACATCGGATTTGTTCCATCGCTGAAATGATTGCTTCAGATATGCTGAAATGGGCGTTTTCGCGATCCAATTCGGCGTTTGCTCGAGCAAACTGACTCGAAGTCAGAAAGGAGAGCAGACTTTGGCCCTTTACCGGCCTTGGAAAATACCTAAAGATGAATATAAACAAACATACAGGGACATTTTTTTATTAGTATACATAGCCCTATGTATACTTTTAAAAAAACCGGGTCAATTTCAATGTAACTATGACTATTACGATTTAGTTAGTCTAGGCATAGGCAACCAACATTACAAAGGCTTTAATATCGTTAAATAAAAGACAAACTTTTAAAAATAACAAAGTAAATGTAATTAAATATTAATTTAAAAAAATAATAAAACCCATCAAAACATGAAAAATATTTAATAATTAAAGCAAGTGTTCAAAATGCTTTCTTTGCAGTTCCAAAGAATAAACTAAGCGATTTTGAAAACCCCGCCACTGCATTGCTGATAAATTCAAGATCTACAGGATGCGCCAGAACTCGCGCCCCAGAGAAAAATGCCATATAAGGTAAGATACCAGGAACATGGAAAAAATTTTGAAGTTATGAGGGTTTAAAGTTTGCACTTTGACTCTATTTATTTCTGTTGGAAAAATAATTTTCCAAGTTTTTTTGCTGTAGGCTATTAAAAAAGGAAACAAGGAAGCTGTATCCTAAATTGTAACTCTTTTCTATGTTATTTGTGGCTTTTACTGGCAAAATTTTTGTCCCTTTACTAAATAATTGTAAAAAAACATATACAAGATCATCAGAATCATTAAATAGATATAAAAAAATGTCAAATGTCAAAATTTTTTGACAGATAGAATTTTTTAAACATTTTTTTCATGTTCCTGGTATCTTACCTTACTTGAAAATTTTCTCTGGGGCGCGAGTTCTGGCGCACCCTGTATATTATTACATTCTGTACGAATACGTTCTTTTAGCTCTTCTAAATTTTGCATTAGAACATTAGTATAAATTTTTGTTTTTAAATACCCCAAAAAAAAAATTTGTTAGGTGCCAAGTGTGGCGATTGTGGGGGCCATGCAATGCGATCATATCTCCCGCTCCACTTTGGTGTACATAGCACACAAATGACATTAACTTTTTAAAGCTGCACTACGGAGAACTACATACTAGGAGACGAAACGAGATACAAAATTGCTTAATTTTTTGGACCCAAAAAAAGTAGTACGGCGGAGTAAAAATGAAACGCTTAAAAAAATGGAAAATTGTTGAGTTTTATATTCTTAATAAGCTGTAAAAAACGAACCACTAAATTTTTCACGAGAAATATGAAAAAAAATATATTTAAAATTCAAAATCTGTGCTCCGTTTCATGTTTTTCAAAATGCTGCGAATACGGTTAAAGATACAAGAAAAATGTAAGAAAGAAAGTTGTAGAAAATAAAATTTTCTAGTAAAAAGTCTGCGACACCATACCTCTATCTTTAATGGTTTAGGCCTCAAAGACGTTCAAAGAGGCTCAAGCGACGGATTCGTTTCATTTTTACTGGTGATTGAGTGCCGGGGGGACACTTTAAAGCAATTTAAACCTAAACCGTTGAAGATAGAAATATGGTGTCGCGGACATTTTTGTAGAAAATTTTATTCTCTACAGTTTTGTTTCTTACACTTTTTTGTATCTTTAACCATATTCGCAGCGTTCTTAAAAATATTGGTCGTAACGCTAACTGATAATTGTTTTTCATTTATTTTTAATACTGTTTTCGATATTTTTGAAAACACTGCGAATACGGTTGAAGATACAAAAAAAGTGTAGGAAACAAAATTGTAAATGAGACGTATTCGTCGCTTGAGCGTCTTTGAACGTCTTTAGGACCTAAACCATTGAAGATAGAGGTATCATCTCGCGGACCTTTTTCTTGGAAATTTCATTCTCTACAACTTTCTTTTTTATATTTTTCTTGTATCTTTAACCGTATTCATAGCATTTTCAAAAATATGAGACGGGGCGCAAATTGCTAAATGTTTTAAAAAAAATTAAATATAGTTTTCAAATTTTTGCATTACCTTTATCTCTTATTATGGAGAATTTAATGTTCTATCTGCCTTTATTTTTTTTTATTTGCGTTTTGCTCACCGTTATGTAAATACAGCCATTTTTTTAATTAAAACTTGAACGGGAAAGGAACAACTGCGCTATCTGGCCTCGCTAACGGAACTATCGAGAACGGAGACGTTTTATTTTACATCGTGTCGTGTCCTAGTCTTTAGGTATCCGTAAGCTGCACTTTAAATTTCAAGACTGACACTTGACAAACTTGACACAAAATTTTTGTTTTGAATATTTTTATATCTAGTACCCTCTAAAAGCTTGAAATGTTGGTCGCCTACCCTATGAAATTGACCCGGTTTTTTTAAAAGTATACATAGGGTTATGTATACTAATAAAAAATGTCCCTGTAGATTGCATTTGTATCACAATACGAACCCTGTGGCCATGGGAAGTACGCTCATGCCGCCGTCCTCAATAAACGACTTTTTCGGGGCTTTCCTGTAGTCCTTCTCTCCTGACAAAGGCAGAAAACTATCGACAAGTCTCGGAGAATGAGCCAAATTTCTCGTTTCAGGCAACGATTTTGTCGAGAGATTCATCAAATCGTCATTCCCCATAGCCCCGCTGCTCTGGGAGCTGCTCAAAGGCGGCGTGTGCTCAATAATATCACAATTGTTTATAATCACATGTCTCGTCTCTTTCTTCGCCTTTGAGCCCTTCTTCAAGTTCGATTTCCTTACTTTGGGGTACTGCATCGACTTATAATCGATTTTTAGAGCACTAGATGAAATTCTTTTGGTATAAAGTGGCGTGGACGGAGTTGTTTTACTCAGTGTTAAATGTTTGTTCTTGATTTTGAAGGTGTCTGATCGTAGACTGGGCATACTATGCCACGGTTTTAATTTGCCTCTTATCACGGGGGTCTTAGGGGCGGGAACCCCTTTTGGTTTATGGTCACTCCCTGAGTAGTCTTTCTTGAAATGGTCGTCGGGGTATGAGGAGCAGCGTCGGTGCATTTTGTGGAATTCCTTAGCGTTGGCTTCGAGGAGGAAGAGACACGGGTTGATTTCCGACATGAGACTAGCCTGGTTTCGCTCCACAGCCCTCAAACAGATGAGGGCGGCTTCTGCGTACTTTTCCTGGCACAGAAACGCGTACTCTTGGTAGCATTTCAACAGGTGTGTCTTGTCAGAAAGCAACCAGGACAATTTCTGCGACAAAGAGTGGTTTTCTAGGCTTCTATACAGCCAAATCGAGGCTTTGTCATCCTTGAGATTCTGAGGCAAGTGCGGCTTGTATTCGCAATCGATGGAAAAGTACGATTTGGAATTTTCCGGCTGCAACCATTCCAATCCTTGAATGAAGTCTAAATAGCTCGTAYACTCCTGGAAGTGACGTGTCAAAAGTGAGGTTATGTGCCCCCCTTCGACTTACAATTCCGGGAGATTTACACCCGTGTTTGAAGATCTTCTCCACAGAGCAGTGCAGACGGTTCAAACCACCATAAATGGACCACACATTGGCCACTTGAGACACCAACAGCCCCTCAACTGTGTTTTTCAAGTCGCGTAAAAGTTGTTGATGTTTCGAAATGTAGTGGTCCGAGTCAGACATTTTAATGAATTATTTCTGCATMTGGGTCAAACACTGGTTGTTCAAGACGGAAATTAAAAAATGTTTGCGTGTTAGTGGACTAATCATGATGTTCGATCAACAAAMCCTRCCACGAATTTGACAGCTGTCATTTGTCAAATGTCATTCGTAAAAAGCATAGGCGTGCCATAACAACGAGACTGAAGGGTACATTTTTTTACAAAAAATCTTCAAATATAATCCATTTCATTGAAATTG